ATATAAATTTTCCAAATAAATAAAAAATAAATACAAATACCAGTTGCAACTGAAGATTTCCAATAATTAAGAGGGCACACAATATATAACTACGGATCGTTTCCCCTCAATAGATCGATGAACTAGTGCAGGGGTAGGCAACCTTGGCTCTTTTATGACTCGTGGACTTCAACTCCCAGAATTCCTGAGCCAGCCATGCTGAGGGGAAAGGGAGAGGTTTCCAAGCTGAGCCATGCTAGCTCAGGAATTCTGGGAGTTGAAGTCCACGAGTCATAAAAGAGCCAAGGTTGCCTACTCCCGAACTAGTGTAATGTTTTGACTTAATTGTTTAATGGGGTTCTTTCTATCGAGTTTTAGGACTTGTGTGAAGAACTGATTCCGTTTAGGTCATATTTTTGGAAAAATACTGAACATTCCAAAAGGTTCACAATTTTTTAAGCACCAGTGTATAAAACCTACCTCTATTTTGTAGAGGTCTAAACAAGTGGTACCCCAATCTTTCCACATTTATCCATATCCTAGTAAGAATCGGGCTGGTATATTGCAAGGTGTTATTTGTGGGGCTGCCTCTGAAGATTGGTCATAGCTAGACAGTGGATCTAATTTATTATGGAAACTCTTTAAGAATGACCAAGGAAGCCTCCCACAATTCTTAAATAATAATAATAATAATAATAATAACAACAACAACAACAATAATAATAATGGTGATGATGATGATGATGTTGGAAGGGACCTTGAAGGTCATCTAGTCGAACCCCTTGCTCAGGCAGGAAACTCTATACCACTTCAGACAAATGGCTGTCCAGTCTCTTCTTAAAAACTTCCAATGTTGGAGCATTCACCGCTTCTGGAGGCAGGTTGTTCCACTGGTTAATTGTTCTTACTGTCAGGAAATTTCTCCTTAGTTCTAGGTTGCTTCTCTCCTTGATTAGTTTCCATTCGTTGCTTCTTGTCCTGCCTTCAGGCGCTTTGGAGAACAGCTTGACTCCCTCTTCTTTGTGACAGCCCCTGAGATTACATAGTTGTAGGTAGAGAAATACAATAGTTTTTCAGAGGGGGGTGAAGCAGCAGTAACCTAAAACTGTCATCTTTGGTTGAAAGTGAAACAGGGGAATTATAATCAAATCGTAGTTCAACTTCCTGTGCAGTACTGGAATAAAAATTAGAGCATCCATGACAGATGGCTGTCTAGCCTCTGAGAGCTGAAAGGGGCCATTTAGGCTATCTTATCCCAATCCCTATTTGGCACAAAAATACAAATTACAGAGCTCTGACAGATGGCTGTCTCTTCTCTGCTTGAGCATAATCAGTGAATGAGAACCTACCACATCTTTTAATAATTGCATCTTCTATTGACTGGAATGCGCCTGCTTCTTTTTTCTTACCTTTGTATCGTAATCTGCGGTCCCCTTCACTTGATTCCGTGCACTGTGGAATGATGGAGAAGAGATCTTGACCAAAAATATGTGGCTTCCTTTATCCATTGATTCTGAAACCCAATTCAACCCGTTAATTCTTATCTTTAAATTGTTAAATGGCTTGGAACCTTTTAAAGTCAACAGGACTTCTTTATCCCCTATAGTTAGATGACGGACAGGGCCTTTTCTGTGGTAGCTTCAAAGTTAAAGGAATGTCTTGCTAGTTAGGATTTCCAGGTCCTATCCTTACCAATTTTTAGGGAAACAATGAAGATTCATTCATTCATTCATTCATTCATTCATTTATTTCTAGGATAGCCTGCAGAACTGGGAGTTTATAAACTTAATGTCCTATAAATATTTAACTTTCCTGTTCTCTACTCCATCAGCTTGTATACTTTCTTTTTCCTTTGGGTTTGATTGGACAAAACGTCTTCCTGTTTTAGATATATTGCTAATAATCTGGCCATCCTGAAATCCATCCTGAACGGTTTCAGGAATTGGGTATGTCTAGTTTAACGAAGAGAAGGACGAGGGAGGATATGATAGCAGTCTTCCAATATCTCAGAGGCTGCCCCAAAGAAGAGGGAGTCAAGCTATTTTCCAAAGCGCCTGAAGGCAGGACAAGAAGCAATGATGGAAACTGATCAAGGAGAGAAGCAACCTAGAACTAAGGAGAAACTTCCTGACAGTTAGAACAATTAACCAGTGGAACAACCTGCCTCCAGAAGCGGTGAATGCTCCAATACTGGAAGTTTTTAAGAAGAGACTGGACAGCCATTTGTCCGAAATGGTGTAGGGTTTCTTACCTGAGCAGGGGGTTGGACTAGATGACCTCCAAGGTCCCTTCCAACATCATCATCATCATCATCATCATCATCATCATCATCATCCAGAGAAACTCAGATTTTTTTGTTTTTATGACCTTGAGTCATAATAAACAATTAAAAGTGCATGTAAAAGCAAACCAAGACATGCATACCAAGTAGGAGACTTCATCGGAATGTCTTTAAATTTAAAAAAAAAAAAGAAATAGCAAGGTTCTCAGTTTGAGACCTCTCTAAGCTTAGCTCCCAGAGAAGTTACTCCTGCAAGTTTCCCCAATTATTTCTGTCAGTCAGAACTGCAGGGTAATAAGAAACATTTAAGCTTCAAAGAGACGAGATCCTGGGAAATGCACAGTCCTTTTCCACAGCCTTCTCTGGCAGACTCTCCTGAGTCTAAGTTAGCAGGAAGTTTACTGGGAATCCAGCTGCAGAATAACTGACTCACCACTGTTGTTCATTTCAGAACAGCTAGCGAAAGAATCTTATTTCCTTCTTCCCATGTTTCAGGATTCTTTCCCTGAGTTATCCGACTCTTATGCATTGCATTGCTCCCATCATTCTCTCATTCAAAAAACAAAAAATCTGCAAAACAAAACAGAAGGAGAGAAGATAGAGGTTATGACAAAGAGATCTCTCCTTCTCCACTTTTGGTTCTATTTCCCCCCCTCCCCCCAAAGCTCTAAGTTGTTTTATTTTAGCAATTTATAGCAGGGCTTTGCAACCTTTTCACCCATTGTACCACTTTTAGGATATGGCAATATCCGAGTACCACCAGTTGCCTAGCAAGGTGTCAAAAACTTGATGACCCCCCCAAAAAAAGGAAAAGTGATGAAGTACAGGTAGTTCTCGACTTAAAACAGTTCACTTAGTGACTGTTCGAAGTTACAATAGCACTGAAAAAGTGCGCCCCCAAGGCACAGCCGAGCAAGACACCTGCCTGTGGCGCTCTTCCTCCTGTCCGAGGTTTTCATTGTTGTGAGACATTTCTGTTGAGGATTGGCAGCGGGGGTGAGGTGGGGGGTGCTTGGTTTTTATCCCCCCCATCTGCTGGGTGGTTGCAGCAGGTTTTGGTCACTTCAACTGACCCTGGGACACTGTGACCGTCATAAATATGAATCAGTTGCCAAGCATCTGAATGTAAATCACAAGACCCTGGAGATGCTGCAACATTCCAGCTGATTGGCGCTTCTTCTGGGCTCAGCGGAAGTGCCAGGATCAGCGCCGAGCTCCAGCTGGAGCCTGGCGCTGATCCTGGGGCTTCCACTGAGCCCTGACAGCCTCGAAGAAGCGCTGATCCTGGCGCTTCCGCTGAGCCCTGACAGCCCTGCAGCTCCAGCCATCTCTCGCTCAGGCTTGTGCGGTGCTGCCACTGGTTCAGCTCATTCCCCTCCCCCATTACCACTTTTCTAGGATGGTTGCGTACCACCTGCCAGGTGCCCATGTACCGCAGGTGGTACCCGTACCACTGGTTGAAAAGCCCTGATTTATAGAGCCACCCATCTTACAGTAATGACTCTGGCGAGCACACAAAGATTAAAACCATTATTATTTGGCCCTAAAACCAAACCACTTCACCAAATGAGCTCACAAACTGCCTGGCTCAAAAGCCTAGTTCAGGAACCAGATCTTCACACCCTTACAGTAGAGTTGAGGTTCTGGAGAGATGCTCCTGGGGGAAGCTGTTCCACAGGACAGAGGCAGACCCAAAGTAGGCACAACTGTGAGGTTCAACAGGATGCCCATGTTTACGGCAATAGACCTGGAAGAATATGTGGACTTGCAAGGAGATGGCCCTGTATCATGTAGGTCTTTATAGATGGTAACCAGTGCCTTGAATTGGATTTGGCAGCTTACTGGGAACCAACACAGCTTGAAGAAGAGCAGAATTACAGTATAGGATCATATTGAGAGACCCCCAAAACTGTTCATATTACCATTCTGGACCAGCTGCAACATGCATCTGTCTACTGCAGTGCTTCTCAACCTTTTCTTCACCAGAAACCCCCTTTAAATACCTTTTGTGGCCACAGACCATGGCTGGGGACCCCCAAGTCTTAACTCAAGATTTAAACATAAAATTTCTTCAAGCCTTGAGGGACTCCCTGTGGTGATATCACGACCCCACCAGAGGTCTGCAGACCACAAGCTGAGAACCACTGATCGTCTGTCTGTCTGTCCATGTGTCCATCATCTATCTATCTATCTATCTATCTATCTATCTATCTATCTATCTATCTATCTATCTATCTATCTATCTATCTATCTATCTATCTATCTATCTACCAGTCATCTGTCTGTCTGTCTGTCTGTCTGTCTGTCTGTCTATCTCCATCCATCCATCCAATTTATTGGCCACCCATTTTACCCCAACTGTGCAGCATCCAAACACTCTTCAAGGGCAGCCCCCTTGTTGAGCATATTGCAGTAATCTTAATGATAGGTGACTAAGGCATGAGTCACCATGAGCAGAGTTATCTTGGTGGAATAATAGTTGACAATTTCAATGCAAGTTCATCAGGATGAAAGAAAAAAAGCAGGATAAAATACTAATATTTTCTAACCGCTGATGCCCTAAACCAGTGTTTTATAAAATTGGCATCTTTTAAAATGTGTCAACTTCAATTCCCAGAATTTCCCAGCTGGCATGTGGAGTTGAAGTCCAGACATGTTAAAGTTGCCAAGTTTGAAAAACTCTGTTCTAAACGGTCTATGATTAAGAATTTGATCCATTTTTAGCAGAAACTTCACGACAATGTATAGGTAATCCTTGAGTTGCAATGGACCCTGCCCATTGCGGTCGTAAGTCATAACAATCTAAAAAACAGATTGGTCACATGACCAATCCCAATTTTTATGATGGTATTTGCAGCGGTAGGTAACCGAATGTGGTGGTCGTTAAGCGAAACCTTATTCACTATGGCACAGTTTTGCCAAAAAGCAGAAGTAAATCACTGCAAACAGGCGTAAATGCAACCATTTCGCTGAGCACCTCAGATGTGATCACGTGACCCAGGGTGACTGTCAGAACTTCAGATCTGGGTCATAAGTCCTCTTTTTCAGGTAGGTCATAACTTTGAATGGTTGCTAAGCAACTGGTCGTAAGTCGAGGACTGCCTGAATACAATTCTGAATGTTTGCAAGAATATAAATGCATATAAATGCAATAAAACTTCAAACTTCAAACTTCAAACAAGTCTCTTATGGATGATATAAATAATATTCCCATTCCTCATATTTTTTAAATTGCTTGGTCTCCTCTAGTTTTCCATGGCAGCACATTGTCTGAAGCTGTTTTGGGCATCTCTTTCTTGGTAATGAAAAGGGAATTAATTGTGTATGTAGTATAGCAATTTATGTTTCTACAGCTGTACGCTTCCCATTAATTGGGAACAAGAAGAAACATTTGTTTTTCCTAGAGGATTCGTGGTTTATATTCTAACTTTCTATGAGTGTTTTTTTCTCTCTCTCTCTCTCTTTGTCTCTTTCTTGCATACACATGTTTTTGCCCTTGCGTAGGCATTGAAAAGAAACATAACAGGTTAACAGAATAACAAAGTTGGAAGGGACCTTGGAGGTCTTCTAGTCCAACCATCTGCTCAAGCAGGAGACCCTATACCATTTCAGACAAGTGGTTGTCCAGACTCTTCTTAAAAACTTACAATGTTGGAGCATTCCCAGCTTCTGGAGGCAAGTCGTTCCACTGATTAATTGTTCCAATTGTCAGGAAATTTCTCCTTAGTTCTAGGTTGCTTCTCTCCTTGATCAGTTTCCATCCGTTGCTTCTTGTCCTGCCTCCAGGCGCTTTATAAAATAGGTTGACCCACTCTTCTTTGGGATAGCCCCTCAAATACTGGAACACTGCTATCATGTCGCCCCTAGTCCTTCTTTTCGCTAGATTAGCATTCTTCATATGTTTTAGCCTCCAGCCCCCTAATCATCTTTGTTGCTCTTCTCAGCATTCTACACTCTTTCCAGAGTCTCTACATCTTTTTTATATCGTGGCGACCAAAACAGGTTGCAATATTCCAAGGGTGGCCTTACCAAGGCATTGTAAAGTGGTACTAACACTTCACGTCATCTTGATTCTATCCCTCTGTTAACGTAGCCACAAATTGCATTGGCTTTTTTGGCAGCTGCAGCACACTGTTGGCTCATATTGAAGTGATTGTCCACTAGGATGCCAAGATCCCTCTCACAGTTCCTGTTATTGAGCCAAGTTTCACCTACTCTGTACCTATAGATTTAGTTTTTCTTGCCTTACTTTTTTCTATATTGAATTTCATTTTGTTAGATAGGGACCAGTGTTCAAATCTGTCGAGATCCATCTGGAACTTGAGCCCGTCTTTTGGGGTGAACATTGGTGAGGGGTAACTTTTCTGTGGGAGTCAGCAAAAGTGAAAGGAGCTGATAACTCTCCAGCATTTAGCCAACTTTTCAAGAGTGTTGATTCGGTCTGTTTTTTTGGTTGTGAGCCTGCTGATTACATCTCAGGAGAGGAGGAGAAGCCTGGAAGTTTTCAAATGTTGTTTGTGGTTTTTCCATTTTGAAAACTATTTCCATGAAATGTTTGCTGAGGAGGTAACACAGAAAGGATCTCCTTCTGCCATAAAGATAGTCCTTGATTTACGACCAGTTGCTTAGCAATCATTCAGAGTTGCCGATAAATCTTCCCAGGGCTATTTATAATCGAAGATACGAAGTTGTGAGGCGTCCATCCTTCCTGTAGCCATGCGATTTCATTTTTAGATGATCAGCAAAGGACTGGTATTTATGGCTGTTCGCAGTGTCCAGCAGTCATGTGGCTGTGATTTACAACATTGTTGTGGGGAACTGGCTTGTAGTTCTAGTGTCCTGCAAAAACCACCGTTTGCAGATGCATTCACTTAATGACCACGGTGATGTTTGCTTAATGACCACTGGGTTTGCTTACGATCACCATGTTAAAAATCGTTGCAGCGTGGGTCCTAAAATTGGGTGTGATCACACGATGACCCACTTAATAACCAGCATGGCTTAACAATCATAATCCCAGGCTAAATTAGGGTCGTAAATCGAGGACTACCCATACAAGTGAAAGGAGATTTTTATTCGATGCTAGGATAGTCGGCCTGCTGTATTAAGAGCGGGTATGGTACCACGATTAAGGAGGTGTTTTTCAGCCTTGGCAACTTTGAGATTTCTGGACTTCAACTCCCAGAATTCCTCAGCCAGCAGGTTAATTTTCTTTCAGCCCTACTCAAAGTTCTTGTTCTGAGTAAAACAAAATGGAAGAAAGTACCCCTGTGTACCCTATATTGAGATGCCAGAGGAAGAAAGAGCTATAAAGAAATAAATACAAATGGCTTTTCTATGACAAATATTATTAACCTTATTGTTCCCATATCTGAAACATTTATGGGGGCACAATACAGTTTGTGTTCTCAGCAGTCAATCAGAAAGAATTGAGGGTCAGCAGAAGGATCGCTGTAGAAGGGGAGAAGGTGTACAAAAGAGCACCGGTTTCTTCTCAGAGGCTGGATATATTTATTATGTTTCCATTTAAAAGCAGTTTACAGTAAAATATGAAGTTATTGCTGTAGAGCAGACATTTCAAACTCGCGACGTCATGTGACGTCGCGTGACGTATCGGAACTTTTTCCCCATTGCCGGCAATGGGGTGGGTGCGGTTTCCTCATGACACGTCTGGCCCGCGGGCTGGCAGCTTAACACCCCTGCTTTGAACGGTCACTAAATGAACTACGTAAGTCAAGGACTACGTGTACTCTAGTACACGTAGTCCTTGACTTACGTAGTTCATTTAGTGACCGTTCAAAGTTACGGAACTGAAAAAAGTGACCAATGACCATTTTTCACACTTACGACCATTGCAGCATCCCCAGGGCTACCTGATTAAAACTTGGCAACTGACTCACATTTATGACGGTTGCAGTGTCCTGGGGTCAGGTGATCACCTTTTACGAAGTCCACGAGTCATAAAAGAGCCAAGGTTGCCTACCCCTACTAGATCAAGCTGGTCTTCAAATTTCTCCTCACCTGCTGTTACTCCCTGTCCATAACAGCTATGATGGCCTATGATGGGCTATTTATATAGGCATGATCTAAATTCAGTGACTGTGTTGAAAGGGCCAATTCTCCTTCATCAAAATATTATGCGTTTGTTTATATTTATTACCATTTTACAGAGAGATTGCGAGATCAGCTGCTCCTACATTCAAGCTGGGATGCCGCGATTCTGCCAGTCTTCCATCAAAGATGTTATCCTAAGTAAGTAAATCCAGGAAGAATTTTTAAAACAGGGAACATTTGATATGACTCTCAGTAGAAAGTGAGGTGGGGGATACCTGCTGGAAGATAATCGACTGTTGGATCAGCATCTTTTGAGCACCTACTTTGGTGAGATGCTCCTTATTTTGCTTGACCCTGTATGTTTAAATAACAAACACCTGTTTCTTTATGTAATTTATACATACGAGAGAGTTCAACTTTTTCCTGATATAGATTTTGGATATTTTTTGTTTACAAGTTCATAAACTTGGAGGGAACTTCTGCAAACACAATACGCAGTGGTGGGATTCAAATAATTTAACAACTGGTTCTCTGCCCTAATGACCACTTTATGTATTAAAAAATGATATACCAAAAGGTAGTACTGACCTCGCCCCTTTTCCCGTATGGACCAGTCAGGAAACTAGTTAGATAAAGCATCTTTCGCCTGAGTGACGTGATCAAAGGCGCCGTGTCTTTGTTTGGTTTTCATCATTTCTCTCATGGACTTTTGGGAGATTCCCCCCCCCCCCGGGCCTGGAAGGAAGTTGAACGAAAACCAGATGTGTTCTGGAAAACACAGATTTATCATAACCGGTTCGCCGAACTCAACAAATTAATTAGGTATCGGTTTTGCCGAACCGGTGCGAACCGGCTGAATCCCATCACTGCATCTATGTGAAGTAGGTTTGCTAGTGTCATTATGTCTTCAAGTATATTTACTTACTTATTAAATTTATTTGCCGCCCCACCTCATTTGAAAGAGACTCTGGGCAGCATAAAAATATTAAAGTCATCAGAAATAAACATCCCTGACCCAATAAAATGACAATACATTCTGGTCATACACACACACACACACACACACACACACACGCAGCATATACATATATGCTGTAGATCAGTTTATACCAAATGCACACAAATGTTTCTGCTACTGATATTGTTATTGTCATTGTTGCTGTTGTTATCCATACAATTGGGTAGGAATAGTTGGCCTTTAAAAAAAAATTTTACAGGTAATTTTTGACTTACAATCATTCATGTAGTGACTGTTCAAAGTTACGACAATGAAAACAGTGACTGACGATCGTTTTTCACACTTACGACCAGTTGCAGTATCTCCATAGTCACATGATCAAAATTAAGACGCTTGGCAACTGGCACGTACTTATGACGGTTGCAGTGTCCCGGGGTGAACCCCTTTTGCAACCTTCTGACAAGCAAAGTCAATGGGGAAAACAGTGTCACTTAACCGTGTTGGACCATAAGAAAGGCTGAGCGACAAAGAATTGCGAGTCCCCTGGACTGCAAGGCATTCAAACCAGTCAGTCCTAGAAGAGATCAACCCCGACTGCACTTTAGAAGGCCAGATCCTGAAGTTGAAACTCAAATACTTTGGCCACCTAATGAGAAGGAAGGACTCACTGGAGAAGGGCCTAATGCTGGGAAAGATGGAGGGCAATAGAAGAATGGGACGACGGACAATGAGGTGGCTGGATGGAGTCACTGAAGCAGTAGGCATGAGCTTAAAGGGACTCCAGAAGATGGTAGAGGACAGGAAGACCTGGAGGAATGTTGTCCATGGGGTCGCGATGGGTTGGACACGACTTTGCAATTAACAACAACAACAAACTTACTTAACAACTGCAGTGATTCACTTCACAAATGTAGCAAGAAAGGTTGTAAAATAAGGCAAAACTCGCTTAACAGCTGTCTCACCTAGCAACAGAAATTTTGTGCTCAATTGTGATCAGAAGTTGAGGACTTACCTGTACTGTCTCACCTACAGTACAGTAAGCAGTCCAGAGGTGTCTTCTCCCAAGAAAGATTAATTGGGCTCAAGGATGCTTCTTTCCAAAGATATGGCTAAAAGTTTACCATTTAATTTGAAACCAAAATAGTGATTTTTTTTGTTTGTTTTTAAAAAAGGATCGTTGTATAGAAAATAGCAAATCATTGTCACCTAAGTGGCAAAATGTAACAAGGTTGTTTCAGATCCCCGAAGCTAAATGGAGAGGGACGTCTTTGATAATGAAGTGGATTATTTGGGGGGGAGGGGATCAAGGTTAGAAGTGAATAAATGTGCAGTGGAAATGATGGCGAGGGTGAAATGTGATGATTACTTGATTTAAGAACTGCCCAACTAAAGTTTCAAAGAAAACAAACAAAAAAAAACCCCAGTCAAGATCAGGTCTAGAATCGGACATAAAAATGGAGCTCTGTGTTCTGAAAAAAAGAAATGTAGTTTTTCCAACTGAATTTGTACGAGGGGAAAGCGCCACTTTTTCAAGGAGGAAAACATTTTCAGAAAATCAGAAGACAGATTAATTAGGCTCACACTGTTATTTGGGAGCTTGCAGACCATGGAAAAGTACTCAGTTTGAGTTCATTTGAACAAAGCCACATGCCCTACAGTTAGTTGCAAGAAATAAAAAACCTGAGTGAGGGGTTGCCAGTTTACAATTTTGAAGTTTAATTGAAATAGTTTATCTTAATTTGATTTTTGTTTGGGGTTGCTTGTAAAGTTTGAGCCGGAGTTGCAGTGTTTGAGCTGGGCGATCTTATACATTATTTAAATATTTTATGTGTATACAGTGTGTATGTAGTATAACATAAATTGAATTTTGCAAAAGAATGAAAGATACAGTTGATTCTTTCTTTTTACTCCCTGCCTGCTCACGCTTTCCAATTAAATAAGTCCCAAACAGTTCATTGGTTCATTCAATGTATACAGCCACCCATCTCAAATGCACAAATCTGCATTAAAAACGAAATAAAACCCATTATAGCAAAGTAATAAATAATATTTACAGCAGCCAAGATATTTAAAAAAAAACAATAATTAAGAACATTAACACCACCATAGTGCTGTTGTGAAGTTTTTTTCCCCGTGGAATTAAATCGAACTCAAGGCTTTGGGCAGAGTTTGCCTGCAATATTGCATTCTAACCACTGTGCCACCAGGGCTCCTGAAAATTTGCATTTACTTCCAGTTTTTGGCAACACCACGCCCATAACAAACCATTGGTTTGCTTAATAACTGTGGATTTGCTTAATGACCATTGTAGTTTGCTTAACAACTGCCACAAAAAGGTCATAAAATTGGGGCAGTCACACGATTGCTCTACCACCATCATGAGTTATGGTCATAACTCAAGGACTATCTTTATAAGAAGATGAGGTGGAGAAAGCAGATTTGTAAGATTCTGCTATACTTCTCTTGATAAAATAAGGTTTTATATTCCTGTGAAGTCTGTGTGCTGATATAGTCTATCTCAGGGGTAGGCAACCTTGGCTCTTTTATGACTCGTGGACTTCAACTCCCAGAATTCCTGAGCCAGCATGGCTCAGCTTGGAAACCTCTCCCTTTCCCCTCAGCATGGCTGGCTCAGGAATTCTGGGAGTTGAAGTCCACAAGTCATAAAAGAGCCAAGGTTGCCTACCCCTGGTCTATCTCGAAGAGTTGACATATGCAAAGATGGGATGTTCACACACAATCCATGATCATCCTGTAACTAAGGGAATCAGAAAATGTTTGGAAAGTTGTGACATCCTGTCTGTGAGAAATATACCAAAATGTTATTCTCTCTTGGACAAAAATAAATGAAAACAAAGTGAATAGGAATATTTTTTCCCCACATGCATAGCTATTCTTTTGCCTCCTTAGTGAAATGCTTACTGTAATGAAAAATAATATAACTTCCTTCCTTCCTTTCCTCCTTCCTTTCTTCCTTCCTCTGCCTTCCTTCTACCTTTCTCCTTCTTTCTTTCCATTCTTCTTTCCTTCCTTCCTCCCTCTTTTTCTCTCCCTCACTTCTATCTTCCTTTCTTCCTTCTTTCCTTTTTCTCCCTCACTTCTGTCTTTCTCCTTCATTCTTTCATCTTTATTTCCTTCCTTCTTTCTTTCCTTCCTCCTTCTTTCCTTCCTTATCTTCTTTCCTTCCTCTTCCTCTTCCTCTTTCTCTCCCTCTCACTCCTTCCTTCCTTCCTCCCTCCCTCCCTCCCTCCCTCATTACCTGCCTGCATTGAAATGATTGGCAGGCTCCAGATATTGTAATAATAGCTGTGTGTAGGTGTGGGTGTAGGATGCTTGCTTACAAAAAAAAAAAGCAGGGTTTTTGATTGTGTAATTTACATGCAAAAGAACAGTTTCCCACTGTTACTACTCTTGATGTTTCCTGGAAGAGTCAAATGGGCAGCACATTTTAGCTCCTTGTTCAGTTCCATCAAATCAGTGGGCAGTGGACCTTCTCTGAAAACCCCATATTGTTTGAACCACAGTCTCACGCTGCTTTAGATTACAAGTCGCACACTGTTTGAAAGGATAACAGTCCCTCATTACAGCACAGGAACAGAACTGGCTGAAATCTTTTCTGTAGCAAGGCTGATGGCTTGAGTGTGTGGGAGGGTTTGTATGTTCGTGCATGTTTCTAGCCCCTCTTCAGCAGCTAATTAAAGGAGAAATCTTTTACCTATGTTGTTCTGAGCCATTGACTACTGCTTATAATGCCATTAATTTAAGAGAGAGAGAGAGAGAGAGAAGAATTTTGCTCATTACAGGAAATGAGTCATTGGCACTGCAGCTCATTAACAAATAAGCTGAAGACTATTGATAGAATATACATGGTTTCTTAAGAAATCCAGGCGAACATTCAGTGCCCACGTATTGAGACTCGTTTAAAGCAGGAAGTGGGCATTAAAAATGAGAGCTGATCTGAATCTTCTCTAGAGAACTATTTGGGATCCATAAATTTGGCAGGATAGGTTACTTGTGTCTGATTCTTTCAAAATCATTGTCACCACGCTTAAGAAGTTCCATGGATCCAATGTACAGGTACAGATTAGGTGAAACCTGGCTCAGTAGCCGTAACTGCGAAAGGGATCTTGAAGTCCTAGTGAACAATCACTTAAATGTGAGCCAGCAGTATGTGGCAGCAGCCCAAAAAGCCAAAACAATCCTAAGTTGCATTAACAGAGGGATAGAATCAAGATCACGT